GTACTATTGATCGTCACAAGACTAGACTTGTGGTGAAGGGTTTTACTCAGGTACCAGGTTGTGATTTTGGTGCTACATTTGCCCTCGTGGCAAAATTGACTACTGTTTGGTTGATTATTTATCTGGCTGCGGAGTACTCTTGGCCTCTTCATCAATTAGATGTGAAGAATGCGTTTCTTCACGGTGATCTGGACGAGATTATTTATATGGATGCACCACCGGGCTTTCGTGGTGAGGGGGAGTATGCTGGAAAGGTATGTCGACTGCGTAAGTCTCTTTATGGACTGAAACAGTCGCCACGAGCTTGGTTCTCTCGCTTTAGTGATGTAGTCGTATGATTGGAGTTCACTAGGTGTCATTCTGATCATACCTGCTTTATTCGATGGAATACTTCTGGATAATGTGTCATCTTTCTGGTATATGTTGATGATATTATTGTTACTGGTGATGATGTTTCTGGGACTGCGCAGGTCAAGATAGACCTTGGGAAGGCCTTCGATGTGAAGGATCTTGGATTTCTGCGATACTTTCTTGGGATTGAGGTTGCCCGTAGAAGCAGAGGTATTGTTCTTTCTCAGAGAAAGTATGTTTTGGATTTTCTTTCAGACACTAGGATGTTAGGGTGCAAATTGGCATCATCACCCATGATTCCAAACCTGAAGCTTATTGCTGAAGGTGAGGAGTTGAAAGATCCGACAGTTTATCAAAGATTGGTAGGTAGACTTATCTACTTAGTCAATACTAGGCCGAACATTTCATTTGCAGTCAACCAAGTTAGTCAGTTCATGCACAAGTCATGTCAGCCTCATCTTGTTGCAGTTTATCATATTCTTCAGTACCTCAAGTCTTGTCTTGGACTTAGGTTGTTTTATGCATCAGGATCTCAGACCGGTTCTCTAGCCTGTTATTCAAATTCAGATTATGGGGGAGCATGTGATGGTCGATCTACTACGGGTTTCTGTGCTTTTCGAGGGACTCATCTTATCTCTTGGAAGAGCAAGAAGCAGGNTCTAGCCTGTTATTCAAATTCAGATTATGGGGGAGCATGTGATGGTTGATCTACTACGGGCTTCTGTGCTTGTTGAGGGACTCATCTTATCTCTTGAAAGAGCAAAAAGCAGGCAGTTGTCTCCCGCTCGTTAACAGAGGCAGAGTATCGGGCACTAGCACTTGGCACGTGTGAGATTATTTGGCTACGATCGATTCTTGGCGAGTTGGGTTTTTCAGTGACCTCTCCATCCACATTATATTGTGATAATCAATCTGCTATTCAGCTCG